AAAAAGAAGAATAAAAGTAAACGAAAACGAAAACAAACAGGGTCGCCATTTTCAAACAAAAAGATACAGATGGCTGACAAAAAAAACTGAAAGAACTCAAACCCACATAACTCAAAGAGTAAAGAACAAAGCCCAGCTTGTTCCATACCTCAAACACCACAAACTAATCAGGAAACGAAACCAGTCACCTTTAACCAGTAATGTTTATTCTGCTGCCCACCAAACATTATATGGGACTTATCCCAGCTATCCGTTTACACCATTTCAGCCACCAGCCCCTCATACTACACCAGCTAATATGATGCAGAGTAATCATCAACAATTGCCTGCTATGCTGTCCACCATGCCACTATTAACACCATCACCATACCAATATACAAATCCAGATTTAAATAAATTTATGAGTGAAGTGACAGAAAGACTGAAAAAATTAGATATGCTATCAGACATATTACAAAGGGTTGTCTCCATGGAAACACACTGCAAGAAAATAGACTGTGAAGTTTCTAACATGAAAGAACAGATAAAGACACATACTAACAATATCATTAACCTTGATCAAGGGCTAAGTGAAATGTCAAACAGAGTACAGGACATGGGTGAACAAAATTACATTCTATTTGAAGAAAACAGACAATTAAAAGAGAAAGTAATAGAGCAACAATCAAGATCTATGAGGGAAAATTTGATATTTAAAGGTGTCCCAGATGATTACAATCCAGATGAGGACACTGAAGCAATTCTGAAAGATTTTATTAAGAGTGAAATTCAAATAGAAGAGGAAATAAACTTTCATGTTGTTCACAGACTTAAACCAAAAAAGGACAAGAGTCCAAGGGGCATAGTGGCTAAATTTGAGCGACGAAAAGACAGGAATATGGTGTAAAGCAATTCAAAAACTGAAAAACAAAAAGCAATTTGTTGTGCATGAACAGTATCCCATTGAAATCATTGAGCGGAGAAGAGAACTAGTTTCCATACTGAAGGATGCCCGAACTAAAGGACACGAGGCAGTTCTAAAGGAAGACCGATTCAGTATATAGACAAAAAAACGCTTCTTTCCTAGGACATCTAGTCAACACCCTCCACCTCCTGTAGCAATAGATCATGGTAATGGTGAATAAGACAGATGTACAAGAGGACAGAGTATTGACACTGAGAACAAAGACTCTCATAAAAACAATAAATGTGTAAAAAATGATCTTAATATATTTTTCTTAAATGAGTGTGGACTAAAATCTAAGTTGAAATTTAAAGAATTTACAGATAATATACAAAACTATGATATTTCAATATTTGTAGAAAGCAAACTTGATAATCTAGATGTGTTAGATGTTCCAAAAGATTATACATATGTAACAAAAAATAGAAATCAAAGTACTGAAGTACTGAACATCGGATGACCGCAGGTTCTTGTGGATGGTCAAAAGCACATGTCACAGAAACAGATCACATCTCTATACCTGAAACTGAGGTTAATTTACAGAGATTTTTTTTTCTTATACAAGTTCGTGCTTGGATGATGAATAAATGACAGGAAATTCAACCTCACCGTAATAATTATTATATTGTAGTGATACAAATCAGTATACCTTAGACTATTATACTAATATAATAATAGTTCCAGAGAATACACTGGTTTGTTGTTATATATTATATTAATATTACGGTTGCATGTATATATAATTTTCATCTATATGTATATCATACTATTCTACTATTATTATAGTGTAATGCAAGTGCATGGTGGACACTCTTCTGTAAAAAAAAATATCAAAGTCTTAATGGCTGTTAAAGCAATTGCTGCCATGTTAATGTTTTGTGGACTTTTATTTTTCATCCATATATATAAGAATTAAACCTGACAGGACAGGAGTGTTGACTAGTGAGAAGCAAGACGGTTTTAACTTTATATCAATATAAGACTTTAGCAGGAAATCATTTTAAATATGTTTTATATTTTACAAGGAGACAACAAGTTTACCAGGCTAAAGTTGGGGTTAATTATACATGTGCTGAAACATATAACTGAAAAAAAATCATTATGGATTATCCCCTGGTAGTGTTTGTAACTGGGCAATAATTTCTTTTATTGATTTAATTTTAACCATTTTCATAATTAATTTAAATTAACCATTCAGTTAAAACATTTCAACTTTCCAGACGCAAATGTTGAAAAACGGGACAGAAATAAAATATCTTACAAGACATAAACATGTAAAAAATAAATATATATTTCAGCTTACTAAAAATATTTTCATAGTGTTACTTTGACATCATTCCTTAAAACTAAGTCCCAAACATAATTGCTCAGTTGACATTTGTCATCCTCATGCGATACGAGATAACTATAATTCTGATGCAATCCCGAAAAGGGGGGGTCATCACAAACAAACATGACATTAAATTGTCATTATACGAACTAAAACAAACAGCTCTATGTTGCTTTGATATTTATCAATTTTCAGGAAACATGTGAAATAAATTTCAGGTCCATTTCATTATAGTGCCTAACAAGATTGCGTGAGGTAGACGAAATTGACCTTAAAACGATCGTATTGTCTTTTGATGTCCAAAAATAGGCAGATCGGACATATAAGGACTTTATCTAATGACTACATAAATTTGGGATTTATTTTATTATAATATTCTAATGAAACTGAAAATTGTATTTTTTTTTAGGATAAACAACAATTTTACCTGGCGTAGCCGTTCATAAATGTTTTTCTGCATTTATCTTCGAAAAATGGCGTATTTAATGGAATAGAACGTTAATACAGTAAACTTTCTCTTTTTTCTCCGCAATAGGCTATCAAAAATAATTTATCTAATGTGTATGTGGAAAATTATGTGAAAAGATAAAAAGTGGCAATTGTTACCTTTCATACCTTAAGTTTCGTTCATCTGATTCTGACCAATGCTTATATACTAAATATCTATTTATATGCCGCTATTATTGTTGTTGTTACCAATTATGTAAATCAATTGTATCTGATTTTATGCCCTTTATGGGCCCTGTAATTTGGGAAATAAAAAAAAAATCTATTCATTGATAAAACGTAATATGGACTGGTCCAGTGTCCAGTTTGCAGGTCATTTAATTTTTTGTACACATTCATGCACGCTCTGATTTAATCAATATACTCGTACGAAAAAGCATGAACAGTTTGAAGGTAATCTAATAGTAACTTAATATGGGAATTATGATTCCTATTTTCAAAAATAAAATAGATCCTAGTGCATACAGGGGTATAACTCTTAACTCCTGCCTTAGTAAAACATTTACTGCCGTATTAAATTGTAGATTAAACACATTATCAGAGGAAATCGAATTAATTTCTGAGGCCCAAGGCTTCTCAACTGTAGACAATATATTCATTTCACATGCCCTTATATCATTATATTTTTCTGCTGGAAAAAAACTGTTTTGTTCGTTTGTAGATTTTAAAAGTGCTTTTGATACAGTCTGGCGAATGGGACTGTGGCAAAAATTACAGAAATCAAATATTCAGGGTAAAATTTTTAAAGTTATATGTAATATGTATCAAAATATTAAAACATGTATAAGGAAAGGAGACGAAGTTTCAGCGTTTTTCAGTTGTGATGTAGGAGTAAAACAGGGAGAGAATTTGTCTCCTTTCCTCTTCTCTTTATTTTTAAATGACCTTGAAAGCTTCTTGTTAGACAATAATGTCGATTGTCTACAAAAGGTCTATGCAAAATGTGAAGAAGAATTGTCTTGTTTCCTTAAACTCCTAATTATCTTGTATGCAGACGATACTTTACTACTGTCTGAAACAGAAGAAGGTCTTCAACAGGCTTTGGTATCTTTTGAACAATATTGTAATTTATGGAAACTTCGTATTAATACAAACAAGACAAAAATTGTAATATTTAGTAAGAGAAAATTTAAACCAAAAATTGTATTTAACATTTATGGTGAAAATATTGATGTACAAGATTCATATTCATATCTTGGTGTTATGTTCAATTATAATGGTATTTTGTACTGCAAAAAAGAAATTATTGGATCAGGCAAATAAAGCATTGTATGCCTTATTGCAGAAAACAAGAAATATGTCAATTCCATTAGATTTGCAATTAAAATTGTTTGATTCACTTATTACTCCAATTCTTGACTACTCAAGTGAAGTATGGGGATTTGAAAATAAACAGGGTATAGAAAAAATACACTTGCAATTTTGTAAGAGAATTCTCAATTTAAGAAACAATACTCCTAGTTATATGGTATATGGAGAACTGGGACGTCCTCCAATGGAAGTTGTCATTAAATTGAGAATGGCTTTTTTTTGGAACAACCTTTTATCCAGTAGTAACAAAATATCTAGTATTTTGTATAGACTTATGTATAAACTTCACGAGAGTAACCAAGTTTAAACTTCACGAGAGTAACCAAGGACATTTTAAATGGGTTGCTTATGTTAAATCTATTTTTGATGAAACAGGGCTTATTTTTATATGGAATGATCAAATGCATATGGATAACATTGTTCTCAAGTCTATTCTAAAACAGAATTTGACTGATCAATTTATTCAAAACTGGTTTTTGCAAATAAATAACTCATCTAGGGGGGAATTTTATGGACTTTTTAAACATGAATTTAAACTTGAACCGTATCTACTTAGATTGGCTCTATCCGATAGAATATATATGTGTAAATTGAGATGTTCAAATTTAAAATTTCCCATAGAGACAGGAAGATGGGCAAAGATCCCTAAACATAATAGAATATGTCATTTATGTAAAAATAACATTGGTAATGAATATCATTATATGTTTACTTGTACATATTCACAAATAGTGGATCTGCGCAAAAAATGTATTCCACCTTATTACAATACAAATCCATCAGAGATCAAGATGATTGGAATGCTGTCAAACTGCAATGTAAAGTTATATCGTAATATTTGCAGATATATCAAAAACATTATCAAGTATTTATAATTATTCACTTACTAATACCTATTTAAATACTCACAAATTCATGACATTGTGTTAAATCCAAATGACAGATATACTTTAAACTGACTGTATTGTATACAAATGAAAGTGCCACGAGAATCACGTGATTGTTAAATGTGTGTTACATTGTAGCTCCTGTTGTCGTACATGTAATGTTTTTTCATAATTGTATTAAAACTACTGTATAGATATTTCGTTTATTTATATATGTATGTATGTATGTATGTATATTGACCTCTTGTACACTGTTGTGTCTGAGGATAATAAAACTTTGAATCTTGAATCTTGAATCTTGGTATTTCAAATAATCATTTCGTCATACACGATCCTTATACATGTGCGTTAAATGTAAAATAATTTTACGTAATTTAAGGAACATGGAAAATTTTCGTAAGAAACCAACGAAATAGACTGTTTTTTAACCGAGCAGTCGTCATTTGACAGCGGTGTTAATTATTCAACGTCTTGCTTGCTAATAGGTAAACTATTGCAGAATATTGTTAACCTCACAACGTAAAATTGTTTGTTTGTGTTGTTATTTGTAATTTGTTCAATATTTTGATTAAAACGAGAGACAATATTCATTATCTTACAATGTGTTTCTTTCGTGCAAGTATTTTATGTAGTAATTCAACCATCGTACCTCAATGTATCCCGTACAAGTAGGTCTTTAAATCAGTTGGCGGTATCTTCCCGGAGCATATTAAAAAATGAATATGAAAAACAATACGATGCCTTAATTTGCTCTCAATATAATGTGACCATGGATTGAGTCGTGGTCATGAGTACTAAAAATATCAAAGTTGTATTGCTTTTGGAAATTAAGTATTATTATTATCATGAAGTATCAATTACTAAGAGTAAATCGTTTTTGTTTTTTGAGATAATGGAGACGGTTTGGAAAAAAGCATGTCTATACTACTAAAGGAAGAGACCGATTTCATTGAGCTGCAACTCCTCTGAAACCATACAAAGTCGGAAATATTTGTGATATGACGTATAAATGTAGTGTTTTGTACTTCCTAAATTTGTCTTTGAAACAATACTTTTTCCACAAAAAAACGCCAATTTTTGAGAAAATATCGTATAACGTATGTAGGACAATAGTGTTGATTAAAAATTACACCATTCCAGGCCCTTTTGTTTTCCACATAATTAATATTACCAATAATTAACGAGTTCCAGGTCGAATCCGATACCGATTCCAATAGTATATGTCACCTGTTACCTATTACCTTAATTGTACGTTCCGCATCTGTCAGGCGCACCACCAAACGGTGTATTTTGGATTTGCTATATACACGGGTCATAATCACACCTAAACTTCGTCATTATACAGGGTTGACACGTCTACTTAATTCAATCATTGTCACATTGTTTCCGATTGAATAAGATTGACTTTATAAGATAACAATACGAATACTACTGAAAATCCAGACTTAAAATAAGGCGTAGGTACAGTTTCCAAATTGTTAGCCGGCATGGCGTTAAAACGGCGAATTAAAGATTTCAACTTTATATACAACTAATAAAGGACAATGATGTTGATTACAAATTACACCACTCCAGGCACTTTTGATTTCCAAATAATTGATAAGTTCCATGTCGACGGGTTCAAACAGAAAGATTTTGAAAGCAGAGAAAACCGTGCCTCTTATAATCAACATGACTTTATTATATGACAATACCAATACTAAAAATCCAGACTAAAAATAAGGCTTATACATAATTAGATACTTTAATTCGGTCACGGTTTTTTTTCTTATTGATTAATTAAGATCTAGAAGGAAATAATTATGTAAATCTAGCTTCCCATTATTTTTTATTTTTTTAAATTGTTTCAATGAACACATTATTAAATATATACACGGAAGTATTTTCGTTCAATCGGTTCAATAAAGGTCTTAACGAGCAGAGAACGTTCAAGATAGTTTTTGCACTGTAAGCTGATCTTTCCAAAAAATATTTAATTTTTCTGATTAAATCAACATATTATTTTCCTATGACCTTTTTAAATCAAACCAGCATTGTTTCAAGTGACAACTGACTCTAAATATACCTGTAATAAATGTGCCACTTTCATTGTAAAGTAGTGTTGTTATGTAGACAAAGTGTTTCCGGTAAGGCCAAATTTGTGTTTTTCTGCGTTTTGCTTCTACTAAGTTTTAGGTTTTGGAAGGTCCGAGGACACCAAAATATTCCACAAAATCTTTTGAATAGTTTGACTTTGTTGAATTTAAGAGTTCGTTTGAACTTCATATTTATATACGTTTCCCATATCATCATTTGGTTTAAATCAAAACATCTCAATGACATATTAATGTGTTGTTCGCTAGATAAATTTATAAAACTAAGTAAGATTTTCATGTAAAAAAATGGCGTTTTTTTTTGGATTGCCTGTCTAGTTTTATTATGAATGTGTTTTATTCTATTTTTTAATGTCTGACTTCCTGGCGTCCTTGTAAAAACTTCGTTTTGTTTAGACGCTAAGCAATTAAAAAATGATATATGGCGATCTGGTTTTTTGGAGGAACTAGCTTGGATTTCCATAATTTTGCATATAATTTGTCTCATTTTAAAATATTTAAAGTTTCAATATATTTCCAATCTAGTGTGAGTTGTGACGAAGAAATAAAAATGGTTATTGTTTATTTCAAAATTTGGCTTTTGATAACAGGTAAGATGTTTCAATTCTATAAAAACAATTATGGCTCCATGTGATATCGAAGAGAAGATATTATATGAGAAAGATCAGTATGCGAAATTGATTTTATAGTGAATGGTTTAAATTATTACATAGAGAATAATGGGTAAAAAGTGCAGAGTAAAGGACAAAACAAGAGAAAAATGTACAAACAAAAAATAAAGAATAGAGAATAAAATGGGGTGCTAAGATATAAAGAATAAACGATGATGGGCATCAAATAAAAAGAATAAAACAATGGCCTAAAAATTAGAGAATACAGAAATGAAGGACCCGTCTACCTCCTATATGTACATGTTCAATGGAAACCGATATTTGTTATTATAACAACTAGAAAAAAAATGTTATGTAAATAGGTTACTGCTCTTTGTCTGTATTCCCCGCTGAAACTAGATTACTCTGCAACTATCCTTACGGTAGATCACAGGCGCAAGGGTACATGATTTGATCTTTTTTCTTTATTTGCAATATATATCGTATTTTCTATTTGTGTACATCATATACTTAACACTATACCTTATTTGTCTTAACTTATTTTTGATGAATTTATCCATTCTGATAAAATCCCTTATTTTAGTATTCATACTTAAAAACAACAAGTCAACTAACTCAACGCCATTTTGTATTAAACTTGCCAAAACATCCCAAAATTTTCGCATTCCATTAAAGAACCATACCAATTATTCGGCAATTTTACCATCCACGATAGCTGAAGAGGACAACCGATCTATCTATGTTTCTTGAACAAAAAAATGTCACATATTTCGAAAGAGAATAAGAATGGTTTAGTGTATGGTAAAAAAAAATAACGAAAAATGATATGACAGACAGCAGCTAACGACAACCACTGAATTATAGGTTCCAGACTTTGGACAGACCCATATTAAGTAATGGCGTAGGGTTAAGCATGTTTGTGAACCATCAATCCTCTCCTAACCTAGAACAGGGATGTAACAGCACAACATAACCATATCATGTAATATCAAAATATCATCAAGTTATGACGTTACCATATTGAGCAATATCAAAACATCATTAAATTATGTCAAAAACATATTATGTAATAACAAAATATCATCAAGTAATGATAAAATCACATCACGTAATGTCAGAGCACCACGGCGTTCCATACTTGTAACATGACCCCAAGTTTTCAATGCATGGTTAATACGTTTGAACCAACCATGATAATTCAGAGGTTTAATTTGCTTAGGAAACACTGTTAAGTGAAATGAATTGTAGTCCTATTATACCTAAATGTATTTTTAACAAATATATATACGATACATATGGTTTACAGTTTTGTTTAAGAAGAGCCGTCAATTATGTATTTCAATAATTTGTAATTATAGAATACATGCACATTGTTTGCAGATTGAAACAGGTCGCTTTAATATAATGTAAACATAAATGAAAGCTATTGTACAATCTGTAAGGATAGATTTATTTGAATATGTAAGAAATATAAAGATATAAGGAAAAAATATTAGATTACTGATTAATTTTTGAATTTCAGTTTTACCGTCCTTATCAGGAAGAAGATATAGAGTAAGAACATCAAGGGGAACTTATTATTCCAGATCTAGTTCTAGCGATAGGTAACTTAACTAAAATTGCTTGAAGTCATATGATTTAGTTTTACAATTAAAAACAATGTTAAAACAAAGTTAATAAAACGACACCGACCTAACACTTATTTTATTGATTTATTATTGGTAGTGCACGGTCATCACAATGCCAATTTCCATTCAAACTAAAATCTGCGTCTGCGTCTTAAAGTCATATGAGACGATTTTCTAGTAATTATGATGTTTAAGAAAATATTGAACCAATGCATGCATTTATATATACTAAACTATTTTCTATTTCGAGATTTTATTTACATAAAAACAATCGCAAAATCATGGAGCACGTGAAGAATAAGTGAGATGATATCTAGCGATATTGATTTTTTTTCTAATTATTTCCATGCGTTCCAATATGATAACAATTGTTAAATGAATCAATGTATCAAATTTTTCTTTCAGCGTCGATTTAATCTATCTATCTTCCATGTTTCTTCACCTTTTCATTCAACACAGTTCCCATCGCAACTACGCTGCGTGGTGTCATGGCTAAGAACCATAGACCTCTTTAGTTCCTTGGAACATTGTGTTTGTGCGTCTTTCGTGGACTTGTGATTTGCGATTGACATTCAAGTTCCCCGTTCGTATATCCTCTCTTTATATTAGATAATGTATTTGGCCTATTTAAACAAGTTCAAATGAATTCTGTTTTGATAATGGTTTGAAAAATTAATATCTTGATATGCATTCTTTCTGCATTGAACATAATGATTTAGATAACACCAAACGTGACAGAAGCGCTTCAAAAGCTTTTCCTCTTTAACAGATAGTCGATATCATTAAACGATGTTTGATAAAAGAAACGGGCATATTTGAAAGCTCTAGTTTATGAATGATTTGTGTCGCTAAATAAGTTCAATTTTGCATTTATCGATTTTTTTTTAATTGTAGCTATAGCGATGTATGGATTTATATAGTTATAGCAATTCTGATCCTCGTTTTGATATCCTGCTTGGTAAAGTTTTGCTGTAATAAAAGACGAGACAAACCAGAGAAATCGCCTGTTTATATCACCGAATACGGTAAATTGAATTATTTAAAATGAGCGACTATGGTAAGCGTTACTGAATTCGAAACTTACATAACTAATTGTCAACATAACTTGTTTCTGATTGTCTGGAAAACAGAGGCAAAACAAATAAAGCGTTCAAAACTTAATGCGTCGTATGTGCTTCCCATGCCTTGCGGTCATAAAATTTTCGAGTAATGACTCAGAAATTAACCAATCAAAATTGCCCTGGACTTACTTTCATCAGGAATGCTCAATGCAAAAGAAATTAAAGACAACAATGTAATGGTACTTGAGAATCTATTTGACCGAAGAGCTAAATAATATGTAAAGGAACAATTAAGAAATATTAGTTTATTAATTATGTTTGTGCCGAAAAACTTACTAATAGCCTGATGAAGCCCTTCGGACTGTCCACCAGCAGAGATATTGACTTAGTGCTAGATAATGCTGATTATAAGACTTCATGAATTTAATGCGCCCGAAGCGCTTTTCCGAATCAGGAACGCTCAATACTAAAAAATTGAAATAAAAAAAGTATGTATACTAGAAGCAACAAACAAATCATATCACCGAATTATACATAATATTGACGGAAAAACTAAGAAATACATGTACGTTACAAATCTTATAAGTAGCGAAATATTGACTATTAGGCAAAACTTTGATTCTGATTCACCATTCTAAAAAAATATCTCCTCTAAAACAACACGATTTAAGGACAAAACCATCTGCATTGAAATTTGTCCGAAGTTATCTTTCTTTAGTCAATAAGGGTTTAAATTGTCAATGCATATTGAGGACAAATTAGATAAATAGTTTTGCTATCAACAATGGTTTTTCTACCGTCAATACATTTTTCAATATCAAAAATTGTTCAGCGCCTACTCATTACTACGTTAACTCTTAAAAGTATCTTAGACCTTGTTATATACTGAAAGCTTTATAACTTTTTTACCAAAATTAAAATCAGGGAATTCATGCAACAATCAAGCGTTCTTCCATAAAAAAGAATTACTTGATGATTTATTGTTGTTTCCTTAATGTACAGTATATGTGTCTATTTTAAGCTACATAATATTGGTAGATTATTTTTCGAATGTTAATTCTTTAATCTTGAATAAGTTGCACATTTCATTTCAGAGCGAAATTAGTGAAGACAGACCTGTGAAAGAAGAAACTTATGTTTGAATTTACCTGTAAATCACAAAGTACAGGAATTTTTTTTTATATCATTATGTTACCTTTTGTGGATGTATGTCGAAGTAAAACTTTCGTGTTAAAGAAGCTGAAATGTCATCATATAGGCACAACTGTAAAAATTAGAAAACTTTGAATCTTAGTTTAATATATCACATGCTTTACAAATACATTTGTCTCCTACTCCACGAGACACAGATATCTATCTATACACATGAAATATTTATAGTTCACCTGGTTCAAATGAACAGTATGAACTTTTGTCATTACTTGGCGTCCGTCGTCTGTCCGTCTGTGCATACACTTCTTTTCAAATCTTCTATTAAAAACAAATTTATGGAATGGAACCAACTTTGTCCACAATATAAAAATACGAAGATGTGGTATGATTGCCAATATGAGACAAATCTCCATCCTTAGTGTATCTTTTTTAAGAATTTTATCACAAAAATTGCAGTTTTTTTGGCTCTCCACGTGAAAATTATTACAATTAGAGAGAAAGAGTCAAAGCGAAATAGACAAACAAACATGATCTACATAAGCGCTTTTATAACGGACATTGATGACTGCTTATAGAAGTAATTGCCCTTTCTTGACTTTTGTTTTAATATTATTGGTCAAATCATTTAATACTGTTTGAGATATAGGAAGAAAAAACTGCAATCAGCAAATATGATAAATAAGACAAGATCTAGTTATAGGTTAGAAAATACTTAGCCATATTTAAAGAACATTAAACTTATTTACTTAATCTTTATGAAAACTTGTATATTTGAAGTAATCGGTAGTTGCAAAATGCCTGACTTAATAATCTACAAGTAATATATAGATTATGTTCATTGGAATCTAAATTTCTCATCAGACACGGGGATAGCAAATGAGTTGCAAATATGCATACCGTAAGATGGGACCTAATAAACAAGACCGTCCAAAAAGGACAATTAACCATATTGACAAAAGAATCGCATCTTTGTCAAGGAGAAACTGACATCTGTAATCATCTCATCACAGTCCTTATTCTTCACAAAAAAGTTGCAATAAACATACTATGGAACATGTAGTTTCTACAACTTGCGGGTTTCGAGAACTGAAGCGAAAAGTTTGGGGCAGATAAGAAAACGAAAAATGACGAGGAAAAGACCGAGCAATAAAAAGTCTCCGAACTTTGTTGTCTATATTGAGCACATCGCTCGATGGGTAAAGTTACACATCAATAAACTCAAAAAAAATAACTTTTTTTATTTATATTTTTAACCGTACGCACTAAAAAGTTATGTTCAGATAATAATTTCATCAACACCATATCGGAAAACATGGAATTCACGTAAATTTAATTCTATTATCACACTGTAAAAATTATAAGTTATTTACTCCAAGTATACCGTATGATAATATTTTTATCAATGAAACTAAAGGTACGAAAGGTAAGAATTGCCACTTTTTATATTTTGACAAAATTTTCCACATATGGAGTAGATTAATTTTTTTTAATCGTCTATACCGGAGAAAAAAGAGAAAGTTTACAAAGCAGACGTTTAGTTCCATTAAACAAGTCATTTTTCGAAGAGAATTGCCAAAATACAGTTTACGCACGGCTATGCGAGGTAAAACTATTTTTTATCTTAACAAACAAAAAATCATTTTTCAGTTTCATTAAAATATTATAATTACAATCATTCCAAAACAAGAGAAGTCAGTAAATAAAGACAAAATATGTCCAAATTGCCTATTTTTGGACATCAAAATTCAATAGATCCTTTTAAAGGTCAATTTCGTCCACCTCACAAAACTTGTTTAGGCACTATAGTATCCCATTATCTTTTACTGGATTATTTTTTATATTATTTCAATGGACAATTTATCATATATATACATAGAAGTATTTTCGTTAAATCCTTAACGAGCAGAGAACGTTCAAGATAGTTTTTGCACTGTAAGCTGGTCTGTGCTAAAATATATATATATAAAAAAAAATTCAATAGTCAATCCCAAATCGATTCCTAACATCACTGAAAAGAAATGGTGTACAAATTTTTGCACCTCATGTTTGCGGTATACCACCTTTTCCGCAAGTTTATTGTTTTCTGTTTGGTATTAAATTAATAATTAAGATCCATTTTGTTACATCTTGTGATCCGTTTATTTGGCAATCGCCATGGCAGTCAGCAGGGTTTAAGAACATCCGTTGTTCGACCTGCTAGTCATTTGCGTTTTGTTAAAATATACTTTTTCCCTTTTTTGGTCTTTTGGAAATTGTTGTTTGTGCTGTATTTAGACCCCTCAACCAAGAAATTTGTTTCGCAGCAAGTTTATTGTTATCTGTTTGGTATTAAATGTATAGTTAAGATCCATTTATTACACCTTGTGATCCGTTTATTTGGCAATCGCCAATGGCAGTCAGCAGGATTTAAGAACATTTGTTGTTCGACCTGTTAGTCAAATGCGTTTTGTTAAAATATACTTTTTCACTTTTTTGGTCTTTCGGAAAATGTTGTTTGTGCTGTATTTAGACCCCTCTAACAAGAAATTTGTTTTGCATGCACACGTATAAAAAATTGCGGTTTTTATCCAACGCAATCATAGGTTTGAACGTTGTTTTCAATTTAGACTTGTATATATATATATATATATATATCTATATATATATATATATATAAGTACGTCTGAACCAGTGACAACTTTACGATAGATTTCATCCATCGGATCTTCAGTGATGGTGATACAAAGCTGAAAATACATTCTGTATATATAATTCGTCTAAATACCGGCCTAACAATGTTAGATCTGTAAATTTGCGAAAGCAAATTTTTTTGTTCTTCCCTGGCCGGAAAAAATTTGCTTGCGCAAATTTACAGATCTAACATTGTTAGGCTGTTATTTAGACGAATTATATATATATAATTTTTCTAATTAAATCAACATATTATTTTTCTATTATCTTTTTAAATCAAACAAACCAGCATAGTTACAAGTGTCAACTGACTCTAAACATATCGGCAATAAATTTTTTAACATTGACTACATCATTGTAAAGTAGTGTTGTTATGTAGAATAAGTGTTTCCGGTAAGGCCAAATTTGTGTTTTTCTGCGTTTTGCTTCTGCTAAGTTTCAGGTTTTGAAAGGTCCGTGGACACCAAAATAATCCACAGAATCTTTTGAATAGTTTGACTTAGATGAATTTAAGAGGTTGTTTGAACTTCATATTTATATACGTTTCCGAAATCATCATTTTGGTTTTATTCAAAACATGTTATACTGATGTGTTGTTCGCTAGATATATTTATAAAACTAGAAAAGATTTTCATTTAAAAAAACGGCTTTTTTGGATTACCTGTCTAGTTTTATTATCAATGTGATTCATTCTATGTTTAAATGTCTGACTGACTTCCTGGAGTACTTGTAGATTTTTAATTTTATATAGACGCAAAACAATTAAACAATGAGATATGGTGACAAGGTTTTAAGAGGAACTAGCTGGGATTTCCATAATTTTGCATATAATTTACTTCATTGTTTTCCGGTCTCCCTATTAAATTTTATGTTTCAATATTACCAATCTAGTGTGAGTTGTCACGAAGAAATGAAAATGGTTATTGTTTATTTCAAAATTTTGCTTTTGATAACAGGTAAGATTCTTCAATTCTATAAAAACAATGGCTCTATGTGATCATGTGATCATAATAGCTAAGAGAAGATATTATATGAGAAAGATCAACATTCGAAATATAAATTCCACCACTGCAACAAGTGTTTTACGATATTTCTCCACTCGAGAGATTTGAATTTAACTGTTGAGAGTAGAGAAATATCGTCATACACGAGTTATAGTGGTGGAATCTGTTTCTCTTATGATTTGTTTCCTTTCTTTTCAATGATTTGCAGAAATTTGTGTTCTTTATATGTGACGTCATCAGGCATGGGCGCCTTTTTTCATGACGTCATGATAGAAAAAGTCAGAAGAAACCAAGAAAATTTGACGTCATAATTAAATTTCGACCAATCATTTGCCGAGAACAGATATTTCACTAGTGAGGAGAAATATTTTTCTCACACCGATCAGGAAATGTGAAAATAGCACAAAAGTTAGAGAATTTGATTTTATTAATGAATGGTGTAAATAATAACATTTGCTTATATGAGGTTCTGGATTCATTTTGGGTTTACAGAATAGGGAATAATGAGTAAAAAGTGCAGAATAAAAGACAAAACAAAAAAAAGCAATCAAGAAAAATGAACACAAATAATAAATAAAGAGAATAAAATAGGGTGCTTAAATATAAACGATGAAGGGCATCAAATAAAAAGAATACAAAATGGCCTAAAAATTAGAGAATACAGAAATGAAGGACCCCAGATACCTTCTATATGTATATATTCAATGGGAACCGATACTTTTTATTATAACAACTTGTAGAAAAATGTTATGTAAATAGGTTACTGTTGTTTGTCAGTATTCACCGCTGAAACTAGATTACTCTGCAACTATCCTTACGGTAGATCACAGGCGCAAGGGTACATGATTTGAATTTTTTTCTTTGTTTGCAATATATATCTAATTTTATATTTTTGTACATCATATACTTAACACTATACCTTATTTGTCCTAACTTGTTTTTGATGAATTTTTCCATTCTGATAAAATCCCTTATTTTACTATCCATATTTAAAAACAACAAGTCATTTAACTCGACGCCATTTTGTATTAAACTTGCCAAAACCTCATCAAAATTTTCACAATCCATTAAAGAACCTTACCATTTTTTTGCCATTTTACCATCCACGATAGCTGAAGAGGGGTCACCCCGCTATTACGACACCACATTGGTCCGATACAAGCTGTTATTGAAAATCAACTTCATTCGAAGAAATGGAAAAGAAAGTACTTTCAAACTGGTACATATATGTAAGAAATACCATCATCCTATAACTATTAGGCAATCGACAACCATGCAATATTTTGCTCTAAAAATACAAAGTGTGACATAGCTCTTTCATAAAAGAAAACTACGCTAAGAAGAGAATTTAATTGATTGATTGCTTGCTGTTTTTTTATGTCCAGTGGCAAATAGTTCATGCATGTTAAGGACAAAAACAAATAAATAATTAACACGAAAGGTATGTCCTGTAATAAGGAATCGACCGTGTGGGCGGAAAATTTAGACTGCAATTAGAAAATGATGGTATACTGGATAGACATAGAAATTTGGCCTTTCAACAGACTGTCATGGAATAGAAGATCCTATATAATATATGTTCAAAGTATGGAATATCATTTCCACTGAAAAAAAACCGTTATTTGTTCCTAACGGAATAAAGGGTATATATAATATTTGTTCCAAAAGGAAAATAAATTTTAGCATTGTTTACAACAAGGTTTCCAGGGGAGCTTCTGTTATGAGTAATGCATATACATTGAAGGTAAACAAGTGCGGGTACCACCTATGGATCTATTAAAGAGTTGTTGAAAGGTTTCTTAAAGTGCAGTGAGCGTGCCACTTTCTATACATGAGGTATCAGATTTAACTTCCTTATTCAGATCAAACGTGACTGTGTATTGATGCACCCCCATAATTAAAGGACGTCCCACTTTGACAAGTGATTAAATTCATCTTAAAACAAATCAAAGGTTAATATATTTTTATACCCAAGTCACCAGTGGGATGAAGAAAATGTGGAATTTTGAAGAACAGTCTCTCTTCGTAAAGAAAATGTCCAGATTGCAATATACTCTCAGAAACTGTAAAGACAAAGATTTCATTAACAAGAAAAACACACTTTTTTTATCTAAGCATGTTGGTTTCCATTTACAACGAACTTGAATATAAAAATCCGAAACTTCATAAAAAAATTAAAGTCAAAATGTCCATAGAAAAATTGAACAATCGATTATATTTGGTTCTTTATTGAAAACTTTATAACGGTTTTCTAAACTCATTTAAAACGGTTGGCATTTGCTGTCCAAATGGACTTACAGTGAATATAACTGCATCCAAATTACTGCTCTTCCTTCTGGTCGACCCGTAGTACTGGACTTATCAATTGTATTTATTGTTAATTTGTTCTTATCCTGACCATGCATGACGTAGTTGTCACTGGATATAATGACAGATTTATCTCCCCTTGCGTCTATGTTGTTGAAAAACGACATGTTTGCCAGTTATGTTGCTTTCGCATGGGAAATTTAAAAAGTTTGACCTGATTGAAACGATAGCCGAGTAATGTAGTCGTTGATCGGAAAATCTATACATGCTTCTGATAGAAGAATCAATAAGAAGAAAATGAGTGCCTTTATAAGGTTAACACTCACATAGAAATATTTTTAATTATTTTTCATTTAAAGAAGGGTAGGTTATTCAAAATGGCAACTTAGATCCCTTTAGAGGTTTTCAGTATGCTGATTCGAATAGAACACTGCACATTGCTTACTATAAAGCAAAAACATATTGATATCTGATTATGAAAATTTTGATCTGCTAACCGAGTCTCTGTGCGGCGAGAGCGTCAATAACTGAAGAGTATTATTTAGAAAGGAGATAATAATTGAACCAGTTTACCAACTGTTTAAAAAAGAGCGTACTACAACACACAACTTCAACACAAGTGTTTACACGTTATAACTGTAAGCATTACCTGTTCCCATGATATTGAACGAACCTTTTATTTGGCTTTCTATCATAGCAATAACTACATTTTTTTTTAATATTTCGATGTCAGATTAATTAATGTCGAACTATTGGGTGTCAAACTAACAATTAGGTGTCGGACCAATAGGGTGTTGGAATATCGGGGCTGTGTTGAAGACACCAGATCTATCTTATGTTCTTAAACATAAAAAAGGCACTTAATTCGAAAGAGAAAAAGAATGGTTTGGTGTACGATAAATTTTTTTTGAAGAAAAATGATATGACAGACAGCAGCTAACGACAACCTCTGAATTACAGGTTACAGATTTTGGACAGAAACATATTCAATAATGGCGTTGGGTTAATTATGTTAATAAACCCCCAATCCTCTCCCAACATAAAACAGGGATGTCACAGAACAACAAGAAAACAATTTAAAGACAATGTGACCCAAAGTTTTCAATGTATGTTAATACGTTTCAACCAAGCATGATCATTCAGAGGATTAATTTGCTTAGGAAACGCTGTAAAGATTAACTATATTTTTCTATTATACCTAACTGTATTTTAACAAATATATATACGATACATATGGTTTACAGTTTTGTTAAAAAGAACCGTCAATGATGTATCCAATAATCCAATAACATGTCATGCACATTGTTTGCAGATGGAAACAGGTCGCTTTTATAATGTAAACAGAAATGAAAGCTATTGTAAAATGTCTAACGATAGATTTGTTTGAATATGTAAGAATATGGAGATAAAAGGAAAAATATTTGATTATTGATTAATTTTTGAATTTCAGTTTTACCATCTTTATCAGCAAGAAGATATAGAGTAAGAACATCAGTGGGGACGTATTACTCCGGATCTAGTTCAAGCTATATTAGCAATACGTAAGTAAACTTTAATTGTTTGAAGTCATTTGATTTAGTTTTACAATTAAAATCAATGTTAAACCAAGGTTGATAAAACGACACCGACCTAACACCTAATTTATTGTTGATACTTTCGTTGTTCGCGCACGGTCATCACAATGCTGATTTCCTTTCAAGCTAAAATCTGTGTCTGCGGCTTTAAGTTATATAAAACGATTTTTCTGGTAATTATGATGTTTAGGAAGATATTGAACCAATGCTTGCATATAAACTAAACTATTTTCTATTTCGAGATTTTATTTACATATAAACAGTCGCAAAATATTGAAGCACGTAAAGAATGTATGAGATGATAGAGCGATGTTATTTTCTCATAATTTCCATGCGTTCCAATATGTGTTGATTAAACTTTATCATTACAATTGTTAAAAAGTAAAATCACAAAAATACTGAACTCCGAGGAAAATTCTTAATGGAAAGTCCCTAATCAAATGGCAAAATCAAAAGCTCAAACACATCAAACTAATGAATAACAACTGTCATATTTCAGACTTGGTACAGGCATTTTCTTATGTAGAAAATGGTGGATTGAACCTGGTTTTATAGCTAGCTAAACCTCTCACTTGTATGACAGTCGCATCAAATTCCATTATATTGACAACGATGCGTGCACAAAACAAACAGACACAATAGGTAAAAATGTCATAAATAGGGGAACAGCATGTAATCATTGTGTTATCATCTTAATCACTAGAAAAACGAACAAAATTTAATGTAACGAAGAAGCACAAAAAGGCATATATCAAATTTAACATCCTCATTATGCTTTTTTATTGTACGATTTTATTTATCTATGTAAAATCCACCCATAAAGGATGAAAGGTTTTAAGTACTGGCGTAAAATCGCGCGTTTGAAATTCGCTCAAGTAGACATAAAATAATTTTGTCGTTCAAAGTATGACGGGATACATAAGTATAGAGAGTCAAGTAAAATGGATATCACAAAAAACAGACTTAACAGTAAAAGTTATATTAATAAATAAAATAATTTTGTTGTTCAAAGTATGACGGGATACATAAGTACAGAGTCACGTCAAACGTATATCACAAAAAAACAGACTTAACAGTAAAAGTAATATTAATAAATAAAATAATTTTGTCGTTCAAAGTATGACGGGATACATAAGTATAGAGTCACGTCAGATGGATATCTCAAAAACAGACTTAACAGTAAAAGTAATATTAATAAAGACAAATAAAAGAATACTATAACACGTTATTATGATGATAAACAACGTCAGTACGCATATTCTTCAAGACCATCGCGTATTATTTGTGAATTTGATACGGACTATTTATCTACAAGTTCTTGGTACCTTCCGATGAACCTTTTTAGAAAATGGACGAGGCGTTCTTTGACATACCCTGATTCATCAACTTTCTGCTCAGACACTGGTGACGTTTTACAAAGTCTGAGTAGGAGCTGCAAGCTCTTGAATACCGAATAAGTTGGGAGATGTATATCCCATATGCAGGTGAAGTTGGTATATTGCTACTAAGCCGTGTCTGTTGTTTCTTTAATTTCTAGTTCTGGTGGATATATTAATGGAACCCAATCAGAAAAGTTCGGATTGTTAATGGAAAGAACATCATCAATATACCTGAAAGTGAAATTAAATAGCCTGGCTTCTTTGATCTTCTTGTTTTTGACAAGTGTCGGAAGGAACTCCGATTCATATGAAAATAAGAAGAGGTCGGCAAGGAGAGGCGCACAGTTCGTTCCCATAGGAATGCCGACAATTTGTTGAAAAAGTCTATCTCCAAACTCAACAAATATGTTGTCAATAAGAAACTCCAGCATACTGATCACTTGTTCCTCTGTGGAGCATGTTTTACCCTTTTGTTCACTATTAACAAAATATGCCTTATGGTATCCCAAAGTAATAAATTTATAGCGTATGCTACCATTTTTATGTTGAAAAGCATTGTGGATTATTTCCTTTAGACGGTTTTTCAATTTCACATGGGGAATGGTGGTATACAAGGTTGAAAAATCAAAAGTTTTGATAGAACTGATTTCAGAAAAAGACCGAGATTTGAAATTATCCAGAAGTTCTTTAGAGTTTTTAAGAATCCACATATGGTTAATACCACTACGCGAGTAAACAGTTTCACAGTATTTCTGAAGACCCTCTTTCACTGCGGACAGAATTTTAGTCAATCTAATGGACAATTCTTTAGTGGAACATGCAGATGAGCCGGCAATGTACCGTTGTTTGTACGGAATTTTGTGAAGTTTAGGTATCCAATACAAACAAGGTAAGTCCTCCGATTTGTTGTTCAATGCAATGTTCATTGAAGCCATGAAGGATTTATGATTCGCCAAAATCTCATTCTTGTCAAATGATATGTTTTTGTGTGTGGGATTACCTGAATGCTAATTTATTCCTAATTCTTTTACAAGACACTCGTAGTAATACGATTTACATACAAAGACAATATTATTTGAAGCTTTGTCCGCAGGAACAACAACATACTTATCATGAAGAGCCTCTTTGTCTCTGAAAACGGACTTTGGTCGATCATTCATACAGTTTTTCAACTTATGAATGCCACGTTTTATCAGAGACCTGATTGTTTTGACCCATTCTGACAAAGTGTCCAGTTGAACTTCTTATCGTTTAGCCCATGCTCTGGCGTAGTCCTTCATGGAATCCTTAATTATTTTGAAGTTATAGTTGGGGTTCTCTAAACTTAGGACCATGAGAAATCACCTTTCGGAGATTTTCATGTTAAATTATGTTTAGAAATGAATCAATGTATCAAATTTTTCTTTCAGAGTCGATTTTATCTATCTATCTTCCATGTTTCTTTACCTTTTCTTTCATCACAGTTCCCCTCGCAACTGCGCTGTGCGGCGTCATGGATAAGAAACATTGATCTCTTTAGTTCCTTGGAACATTGTGTTTGTGCGTCTTCCGTGGATTTGTGGTTTGCGATTGACGTTCAAGTTCCGCCTTCGTATATCCTCTATTTATACTAAATAATGTATTCGGCCTATTTAAACAAGTTCAAATGTTCTGTTTTGATAATTGTTTGAAAAATTGATATCTAGATATTTAGATATTTAGATATTTGGATGATATATTGGCTCTCAATAATGACGACTTCAGTGTGTACACTAAAGAGATTTATCCTGTTGAACTAACTTTAAATAAAGCTAATACTAAAACTGAACACTGCCCTTTCCTGGATCTTGATATCTATATCATTAACGGGAAGCTTAATACCAAAATTTATGATAAAAGAGATGATTTTTCATTTCCTATTGTTAATTATCTATTTTTAGATGGTGACGTGCCCTTGTCACCATCTTATGGTGTTTATATATCTCATCTTGTACGATTCGCTCTTTTATGTAACAACGTATTATATTTTAGCGAAAGAAATCTATGTATTACTGAAAAATTATTACACCAGGATTTTCGATATCACAAACTAGTCAAAACATTTACTAAATTTTATCATCGGTACAAGGACATCATTCGTAAATATAAATCAGCATGCAGACATCTTATACGTTCAGGTATTTCACATCCAATCTGTTATGGTATTATTCTTTACAAAGCACAAAAATGTCGGCATTCACCTCTAAAGTTAACAAAACCCTTAAACAGACTTATTAAGAAGGGATATAGTTACGATACTGTTGTCAGGTCAATAAAGATGGCAAATTTTGGCTTTAATATTGATTTACTTATAGGGTCTTTGCATCGGAAATAAACACATTTATTCTAAAACCAGTTGTTGGCATGATACGGGTTATGTTCTTCTCATATATTTTATGATGGCATGATACTAAACCCCTAACGGAAGGGATTGTGCTTCATATTCATATGATGAAGACATTATCTTTCAATCAGTTTAATTGAGGTCTGGGGCTGGCATGTCAGTTACAGCTAGTAGTCCTTTGTTAATTTATGTATCATTGTCACCTTGTTTAGTTTCTTTTGTTACCTATTCTGACATCGGACTCGGGCTTCTTTTAAACTGAGTTTTACTGTGCGTATTGCTGTGTATTTGTTTTTTTCTACATTGAGTAGAGGTATAGGGGGAGGGTTGAGATCTCAAAAAAAAACATGTTTAACCACGCCGCATTTTTGCGCCTGTCCCAAGTCAGGAGCCTCTGGCCTTTGTTAGTCTTGTATGATTTTTTTATTTTAGTTTCTTTTATATATTTCGGAGTTTAGTATGACGTCCATTATTACTGAACTGGTTCATATTTTTGTTTAGGGGCCAACTGAAGCACGCCTCCGGGTGCGGGATTTTTTCGCTGTATTGAAGACCCATTGGTGGCCTTCGGCTGTTTTCTGCTCTTTGGTCGGGTTGTTGTCTCTTTGACACATTCCCCATCTCCATTCCCAATTTTATGCATCCTTTCTGCATTGAACACCAAACGAGACAAAAGTGCTTCAAAAACTTGTTTTCCTCTTTAACAGATAGTCGAATTTATTAAACGATGTTCATAAAAGAAACGGGCATATTTGAAAGCTCTTCTTTTTATGAATGATTTATGTCGCTAAATAAGTTCAATTTTGCATTTATCGATTTTTTTTATTGTAGCAATGTTTGGATTTACATAGTTATAGCAGTTCTGATCCTCGCTTTGATATACTCGTTGGGAAAGTTTTGCTGTAATAAAAGACGAGACAAACCAGAGAAACCGCAGAAACTTGATGTTTCCCCTGTTTATATCACCGAATACGGTAAATTGAATTATTTGAAATGAGTAACTATGGTAAGAGTTACTGAATTCGAAAATTGAAGTTGAAACTTACATGACAATTGTTTTTGATTGTCTGGAAAACAGAGGCAAAACAAATGAAGCGTTCAAAACTTAATGCGTCCTATGTGCTTTCCATGCCTTGCGGTCATAAAATTATCGAGTAAAGACTCAAAAATTAACCAATCAAAATTGGCCTGGACTTACTTTCATCAGGAATGATCAATACAAAAGAAATTAAAGACAATGATGTAATGGTACTTGAGAATCTATTTGACCGAAGGCAACCTTAAAAGAAGAGCTAAATGGTATTTAAAGGAAAAGTTCAGAAATATTAGTTTATTAATTATGTTTGTGCCGAAAAACTTACTAATAGCCTGACGATGCCCTTCGGACTGCCCACCAGCAGAGGTATCGCTTTAGTGCTAGATAATGATGATTATAAGACTTCACGAATTTAATGCGTTCGAAGTGCTTTTCCGAATTCACCTAATCAGGAACGCTCAATACCAAAAAATTGAAATAAAAGAAAGTATGAATACTTATGAGCTACAAACAAATCAGATCACCGAATTTTATATATACTAACGGAAAAACTAAGAAATGTACGTTACAAATCTTATAAGTAGCGACACATTGACTATTGGGCAAAACTTTTATTCTGATTCACCATTCTAAATAATTATCTCCTTTAAAACAACACGATTTGAGGACAAAACCATCTGCATTGAAATTTGTCCGAAGTTATCTTCCTTTGGACAATAAGGATTTAAATTGTCGATTCATATTGAGGACAAATTATATCAATAGTTTTGCTATCAACAATGGTTTTTCTACCGTCAATACATTTTTCAATATCGAAAATTGTTCAGTAAAATTGAGAATGGAAATGGGGAATGTGTCAAAGAGACAACAACCCGACCATAGATCAGACAACAGCCTAAGGCCACCAATGGGTCTTCAATGCAGCGAGAAACTCCCGCACCCGGAGGCGTCCTTCAGCTGGCCCCTAAACAAATATGTATACTAGTTCAGTGATAATGGACGTCATACTAAACTCCAAATTATACACAAGAAACTAAAATTAAAAATGATACAAGACTGACAAAGGCCAGAGGCTCCTGACTTGGGACAGGCGCAAAAATGCGGCGTGGTTAAACATGTTTTTTGAGATCTCAACCCTCCCCCTATACCTCTAGCCAATGTAGAAAAAACAAACGTACAACAGTACGCACAGTAAAACTCAGTTCAAGAGAAGTCCGAGTCCGATGTCAGAATAGGAAACAAAAGAAAATAAACAAAATGACCATAATACATAAATAACAACAGACTACTAGAAGTTACTGACATGCCAGCTCCAGACCTCAATTAAACTGATTGAAAGATTATGTCTTCATCATATGAATATCAGGCACAATCCCTCCTGTTAGGGGTTTAGTATTATACCGTCATAAAATATATGAGAAAAACATAACCCGTGTCATGCCAACAACTGGTTTTAGAATAAATATGTTTAATTCCGACGCAACCTATAAGTGAATCAATATTGAAGCCAAAATATGCAATCTTTAATGACCTGACAACAGTATCGTAACTATATCCCTTCTTAATAAGTCTGTTTAAAGGTTTTGTTAGCTTTTGAGGTGAATACTGACATTTTTGTGCTTTGTAAAGAATACTACTCATTACTACGTTCACTCATAATAATATATTAGACCTTGTTATAGACTAATAGCTTGATCATTTTTTTTACCGAAATTAATTTGCTACCTCCACTTTTCCGTCTGGCTTGCAGATTTGCAATTAGGAGTTACAGAATGAGTTTGAATCTCGCTTAACCTCTGCTAATTATGACAACAGTGTAGCTCTTGGACATGAAATTCATTGATAAAAATGAAACATGTGTAAGACTGCTTGTAAAATATTCTTTATCTTTCATTCTTAACACCGATTGTTTTTTTACAGGGAAATCAGTGAATGCAGACCTGTCAAAGAAGAAATGTTACCTGTAAATCACAAAGTACAGGAAAAATATTTCCATCATTATGTTACATTTTGTCGAAGAGTGTCGAATCAACACTTTCTTTTTAAAGAAGCTGAAATGTCATCATTTAGACACAATTGTAAAAAATAGAAAAATTTGAACTTTAGTTGAATGTATAACACGCTTTAAAAATAAATTTGTCTCTTGCTCCAAGAGACAGAAATAGTAGTTTGAGCTCTATCTATCTGTCAACCGACAGTATGAACTTTGTCATTACTTGGCGTCCGTCGTCTGTCCGTCCGTACATGCACTTTTTAAAAAATCTTCTATGAAACAATTGTATGAAATGGAACCAACTTTGTCCACAATATTAAAATAAAATTATGTAATATGATTGCCAATATGAGACTACTCTCCATCCTTTGGGTATCTTTATTAAGAATTTTATCACAAAAATTGCATTTTTTTTAGCTCACGACTTGGAAATGATAACAACTAGAGAGAAAGAGTCTAAGTGAAATAGGACAGACAAACAAGATAACATTGAGAATGGAAATGGGGAGTATGTCAAAGAGACAACAACCCGACCAAAGAGCAAATAACAGGCGAAGGCCATTAATGGGTCTTCAACGCAGCGAGAACATCCCGCGCACCCGGTTGTCCTCAGCTGGCCCCTAAATGAAAATGTGTATAAGTTCAGTGGAAATGGACGTCATACTAAACACCAAAACATATAGATGAACTCCAATTAAAATAAAACATACAAGACTAACAAATGCCAGAGGCTCCTGTCTTGGGACAGGCGCAAAAATGCGGCGGGGTTAAACATGGTTTGTGAGATCTCAACCCTTCCCCTATACCTCTAGCCAATGTAGAATAAGGAAAGACACAGCAATACGCACATAAGATCTACATAAGCGCCTTTATAACGGACATTGGTGACTGGAAACAGGTGTTATTGCCGTTGATTGATTTTTTTTCAATTATTGGTTAATTTCTTTGATAATGTTTGAGATAGAAGAAGAAAAAACTATAATCAACCATAAGGATTAATAATACAAGATCTAGTTATATGTTAGACAATGCTTGGCTATATTTAATGAACATTAAATTTTTATGAAAACATAGAAATAAGAAGATGTGGTTTGAGTGACAATGAGACACCTCTTCGTCCAAGTCACAAAGTGTAAAAAGTAAACAATTATACACCAAAGAACGGCCTTCAACACGGAGCCTTTGCTCACACCAAACAACAAGCTATAAAGGGTGCCAAAATTACTATTGTAAAACAATTCAATCAGGAAAACCAACAGTTTAATCTATATAAAAAACGAGAAACACTTATAAAACACATAAACAAACAGCCACATCTGAACAGCAGGTCCCTGACTTAGGACAGGTGCAAACAAATGCATGCATATTTGAAGTAATCGGTGGTTACAAAATGTTCATTGGATCTAAATGTCTCTTCAGACAAGGGCATAGCAAATAAGTTGCACATACAGTCCTTGGATGGTGTAAACTCCCGGCTAACACCATACACCATTACACCGTGTGCCATTACACCATACACGTTACACCTTTGCACCATACACCTTACACATTACACCATAATGCAATTTAATTTCACAGAAAGTGTGCGACTACAAAATTATTTATTTTTTTTAATAGACGAATTTTGATCACAATATTGTAAATTAATGTATAAAAATTAAAAATCAGTTCTTATCAATATTTAGCATAGTTTTAAATGTCGTACACCATTCATTCACACCATTCCCGATCGCACGTTACACCATTACACTATTCCCCTTACACCATACACTATAGCACCATACACCTTCTACCATTGCACCATATGCCATACACCATTACACCATACACGTTTTTGTTGGAAGTTTACACCATCCAATGGCTGTATACATACAGTAAGACGGTGCCTAATGAACAGAATCTCTTTGTCAAGGAGAAATCAGGCAGTTTTAATCATCGCATCACAGTTTAATTAAGTATGGCTACCTTATTTCTCACAAAAGAAGTTGCAAAAAACATATAATAGAATCTGTAGTTCCTACAACTTGCGGGTTTCGAGAACTGAATCAAACTACTTTGTATGCAAAAAAGAAGACAACAGTGACGAAGAAGAAATGAGCAAGCCTCCGAACTTTGTTGTGTCAATATGTTGTCTATTTTGGGCATATGGCCTGATGGGTAAATTACACATCAATGAACTCAGAAACAAACAACCCCACTACTTATATTTCCAACCAAATGTACCATGTGTGTACCAACAGTTTTGGTCAAATAAAACGTTTCATAAACGATAAGTTAACCTACAGAACTGTTTGTTGAATAATCATGTTTTGATATTTATCTTTTTAAACGTACATGCTCATAGGTTGTTCAAAAGCTTCTTCTTAAAGTTACAACAAAGGTAGTTGTATATGTATCTTTAATCTTTGATCTTTTACACTCCTTCAGTTGTTGTATGCGATTATTAGATAAAGAATAGACGTATTTCTTCCTGTTTTAATTTGTTTTGTTCGGGAGAAATGATTGAAACTCTCATTAATTCAAAAAATATATTTCTTCTTTTTCTTTTTATTGTAAGTCAACTACTGACAATGAACAAACATCACAAGATAATTTTTCAGATAAAAAAAATGTCATAGTATCAAGATGGAAGATGTATTGAATGAATTTTCATCGGACGACGTGGATGCCAATGACAGGAAACTCAATGCCTTATCTTCATTCTGATATTTTGGATCACAATCGTCGATGTAATATTGATCATAATACAAGTTTTGCTTATATCATGTATTTTTCATTTATTTCGTTTGCGTGTACACACAGAAGGCCATCGTGTTAGATTTAGTCACATATTCTCAAAGATAAGGTCAACATGTGTCGTGACTGACTGCTACTGATCGTTTGACAATCAACATTATGAATTCAGGGAATATTGACAAATTTATGAAATGAGATTTGGCTTATTGGTTTTTTTTCTGAATATTTGAATGTCTTGAATGTTCTAATTTTTGAATTTTAAGATCTTTTTGAAATTTTTGATATTTTAGGATGGTTAGACTCCTACGTATCGAATGTGCGTCATCGGTCTCCCGATCGCCAAATAGAGTCGGACGTTCATGAAGAATAATAACTCATTCTTTTAATTGTATTCAACAACCATTTGTTCTGATTGGACGATTGTGATGTGTTCCTGCGCCGAATGAGTCCACGTTTTCCTTAAATGGTATCTCGATGAACGAATCCAGCGTCGACTCCTTCCAGTGACGTCATTTCTGGTTATAACCTTATCGAGAGGGGGAGGGGAAATACCTAAAAGGGTAGAGGGGGTGGGGTCTGCCCAAAAATGTTTCAGCCACAACAGGGTTTTTGGGGATGTTATAAATGATAAGATACTACTACTACTCACATTCCAAACTCATTAATAGAAGATAAACTGGCAATGCCATGAAAAATAAATACGAAACTCGACGAATGAACAAATAAGTCCACAAAACACTGCATAGAACACCTACAGAGTCAGCAACAGGAACTCAAACTGAAAACTGGGATTTATATCAGGTAATCAACATGAAGGTTCAGAAGATCCTGGAGTCGGCTTCACAAAAGAAGTTAAGACTAAGATTGATTGTAAGTCATGAACAATTTACTATACTTACGATCAATATTAGTTGTAATTTTTTTTTGTGAAACCGACTTAAGCTACACTTATTGCATCCATCATAAGTAAGTAAGTAAGTAATTTGTATTTAAAGTCGGCTTATATATACATAATAACAGGCAAAACATGAGCTCTGGTGAGCTCTTTAAACGACTATCACATAAAAAAATCATGTAGCTTCATGCAAATACTAATAAATAAAAATAAAAAGGCATGCAAATATAATGAAAGCAAATTAATTTTGATTTCTGAGCCTCTAGAGTCAATGCTCATGCAGCAAGCACCTCTATGTGCATTGAATGGGGGAACCAGCAAATCACTGGAATATCATAAAATACTAACAAACTAAAAAGCAAAAAATCAATAAATAAAAATTAAGCACTGGCAATTAATAGCAGGTATGTATAATAATGCATAAAAAGCAGAACAAAAGGCCATAAATAAAAAGAAAGAAAGAAATTTAAGCTATGAGACAGCACTGGATGGAAACGGCACGAACTGCAGTTGCATTTTTGACCCCCACACTAGGAATTTATATAATTTCTAAATTGGTCAAAAGAGGTCATAATTCTATCTTTTTTGGGAAAGGAGTTCCATACTTGTGCTGCCTCAAATCTAAAAGATCTTTTACCGTAATTTGAGGTTCTTGGTCTAGGTACCTCAGCAGTGTTCACATAGCTGAAATAATATGAATTGTTTTTTATAACAACTAAATCTTGAATAAATAAAGGACATTTTTTATTAATTATTTTAAAGGTCTCCAAGGCAATTGAGCGCATTCTACGAGTTTTTAGTGATGGAAGGTTTGAAATCTGCAGGAGTGTTTCGTACGAGTTTTGATGGTCTTCATAAATAAAACTAACCGCTCGTTCTTGTATTTTTTCTATTTTGCTGATATTTTGTTTCGGGCAGTAACCAAAGTTTGACATAACAAAATAATAAATTGTATGTTTACTCAGTCTTTTTAGGTTTTTTCCCTATTCTTTTCAAAACATTTAATTCCTTTGCAGCCTTTTTACAAATATTTGAAATACATGTATGTAAATTGAAGTTTAATATAAAATCAATGTTTTTCATATATTGTCGTGTTTATTTGGTCAACAATGGAATGTTCAAAAGGAAATCTTTCCAATAGTTAAACATATATTACTATAAGCTAGTCTCACGATCTCCATCCAACTACTGTTTTGGGGTAACTTTTGTTTCAATTTGACTGTGCGAGTTTGGTGTTAAGCATTTATATCAGTTGTTTGATTTGTTTCATCTAAATTTTCAAGATTCAAGAAGTCCTTGTTTATTGTTATTTTTCTTTTAAATATAAAAATAAGGGGATGTGGTATTAATGCAAATGAAACAATTATGGACAGGCACATACAGAATGTGGCGGGCTTAAACATGTTTGCTTGCGCCAAACCCTTCCCTAACCTGGGGACAGTGTTGTTACCAATACAACATAAGAACAAACTATAACTAGAGGCTCTAAAGAGCTTGTGTCGCTCACCTTGCTCTATGTGCATATTCAACAAAGGACATTCTC